TGAATTCATTGGTATGATTCAAAATTTATTTGGTGGATTGGGGTTTGAAATTTTAAAATTATTTATGTAGCGTGATTGTTGAAATGTAATAAGCAAATCTCTATATTTATAATTGCTAGTTTAGCAATAAATTTTGGCTAATAAATAAACCTATTTAATTTTATCTATATGGCACTACCAATTTATCTCAAAAAATCGTTACATTTAATTTATTTAACATTTCAAAATCAACACACTAATTACTTCAAACAAAAATCATTCTAACTTTTATTTAATCCTTCATAATCAACACACTAATCACTTTAAAAATATAAAAATTATTATAACTTTTGTTCACTGACAGGAACGCATAATGTGATTAGAATTTAATTTTCTGTTTTATTTAAATTTAACTCATTTGAAAAATAAAGATTGTATTTTAAATTTCTAAATAAATAATTAATAATTCACAAAAAATAAAATACATATCAAAATATATATTACATCCAATATCAAAATATACATTACATCCAATCTAATAGACGCATTTATAAAAAAAAATTGATGCATTTCTTTTAATGTCATAATAAAATCCCTTAAAATTGCATTAAAAATAATTAATGCATTTGTTTTAATATCATAATAAAATCCCTCAAAATCGCAAAAGTATAATTGCTATAATAAATTTAATATTTTTTAGCAAATTAATGGGTCATAATCTCTCAAAATTACATATATTACATTATTTACTACATTTTATGCAATCAATATAGTGATTCGTATGCAATCAAATCGTTACGTACTGTTTATTTAAACAAGTATAGATGTTAAACGGGCTAGCCCGAGTGGACTTCACGCTAAATGGTTCGAGACTAAAAAACTTGGATTTAAACGGGCTACCAATAGAGGGACCTAACCCTAACCCTAGCGGACCTCGGGCTAATTACGGGCTATGCGGGCTTTAATAATAATAATAATAATATATCAAAAAATATAAAAAAAAATATATGTATATATAAAAAATTACAACGGCTAGTTAACGATTGTTTTTAATGGATATTTAGTATTTACCGCTCTATATATACAACTACACATCATATATGAACACGTATTACAAACTATCGAATAACATATTTTTTCTCAAAAGAAAAAAAATATTCAAATTATTACTTACAATTACCATTTTAGTACTTATTTTGTACGCTTTGAAATTTTTCACGATATTGTATCATTATTATAAATTTTATCACTATGTTTCATGTGTAAGTCTTTGTCTCATTTGTTTCCTATAAGTTGTTCTGATTGACTTAAATACTTTGGTGTGAATTACAATAACGATATTATTAATAATTATCTTTTAAAATCATAATATTTTGTTACAGCTCATACTTATATGTGAAGTGGAATAACATTGTAATATGCAATCTAAGAGCATATTACTTACTTGCTGCAAATATTTACACCGCCAAACTCAAGTTAAATAGGTCAGCTCTAGCGGACTTCGGGCTAAACAATTCGGACCTAAAAAACCCTGATTTAAACGGGCTATCAATAAAGGGTCTTAGCCCTGTTTTTTTCGGGCTAAACGGGTCGGCTCGTCGGGCCAAATACCGTTTAACATCTCTATGAACAAAATGATCAAATTTTAAAACATAATATCATTATCTAACTTATAATTTTAATATTATATGCATAAATATAACATATATTTTCTATGTTTAAAATTTAATACCATTATCTAACTCATAATAATTTTAATATTGTATACATATAAATAGTTTATAATATTTTATTTATATTTGTGCAAATGTACACGACCGAAGAATACTAGTATTTTATATACTGAATCTTTAACTTTTATTTTATTTAACAGATTATCTGCAGCACTATTCAGACATGGCGTGCTCATTACAAATTTTTATATAAGCCGATCAAGCTATTAGATCTGTTGACTCGTCAATATTTTTCAATAAATTATTTTCTTATATTATGAAAAATTATGCTATTATTTACGCTGTTTTTTAATGTATATAACATTTCAGTATGCAAATATGTTAAAAAGGTACAACGGACTAACCGAGTAAATAAAATGATATTTATGAGGCTTTTTTAGTATGAAAATAAATATTGAAAAATGTTATATCAAACATTTTTTTAAAATTGCATAATTTACTCATCTAACGTTCTCTATTTGTATTCTTACAAGATAAACATAAATTATTATTACTACATATTTCTTTAAAAATTTACTACTAATATAAAACACCACCTTTGTGTAGTACACACGGGTGCTAATAAAAAGAGAGATTGTCTTTGTAAGTTTCAAACAATCTATTATTTAAAAACTACAACCATCACTTGTACAATTTACTCCTCCTGACTTTAAAATATATTTTTATCACTCACATTATAAATAGGACTTGATAAATAAATTTATTTAATTGATTAATAATATAATTATTTTTAATTAATGAGATAAATAATTTGTTTTTTATTAAAAGGCAAATATATATTATTCACATGCAATATGAAAGTAAAAATTGTAACTCGTTGAGTGATAATTGTTTTAATATATTTTACATGAATGAATAGGAAAGTTGTTAATTTCCACAATATTTTTGTAACTTTACTTAATCAATTGTTTTATAATTTTAAAAGTTACTTTTAATCTGGATAGAAATTAAAATCAATATGAAGTATAAATACTATAATTTTATCATATAATTACAAGCTAAACACACATGGGGTTTGTTTGACACTATCGGGGGATTGGATAAGGGATATGAATTTTATTTGATTTTGATTGTTTTTTTTTTTTTTGTTAATTAGAGTTTACTAGTATAAGACATGTGCAAATGCGCATATATAAATAAAGTATTGTGGGTTATTTGTATACATATAATGATTAATGATTTTTTTGCACTTTTTTGCAAGCCAAATTTACAATTAAAGAAGCTGAAATATTTATTTTTTTAAATTGCGTTTTATCATATTAGATGTAATGTATATTTTGGTATGAATTTTTTTTTTGTAAATTATTTATTATTTATTTCGGAATTTCAAATACGTATTTTATTTTCCAAAAGAAGTTAATTTAAATGTAACCACAACAATGACATATAATCACATTAAATAGTCAACACATTATATAGTTAGCTGTAAGCAGTGTTTCGAGACCAGGATCGGTCCGGCGGGTCGACCCGGAGCCGAAACCGGTCCGGGTGGAGTATTTAGACCGAGCAACCAAGGACCCGGTCAAACCCGGTCAAAACCCGGCCGACCCGACAGAGGCCCAGCCGACCCGACGGTTGACCCGGTCCATATATATATTTTTTTTATTTTTTTTGTTTTTTAAAAATAAAAATATGTATATATCATGAGATCCATATTATTAAAACTTTAATATACAAATTTTATACACAAAACATCTAATTTTGTTACTTTTATGTATATTTATATAACAAAAAATACTCTATATATAATTTTAAAAATTTTTAAATTAATTATCCGGTTCAGCAATTGACTCGGTGACCCGACAGTTGAACCGGTGACCCGGTGACCCGAGGATTTGCCCGGGTTGATCACCGGGCCGGGTTTAAAAACTATAGCTATGATTTGTGTAATTTTGAAATGATTATTGTGTTGATTATCTAAAAATTAAATAAGAAGTTAAATAAATAAAAAGTAACGCTTTTTTGTGGGAGAAAGTTATATTGCCACATACGTATAATTTAATAGGTTTTATTAAATGCTCATGAGCCAGCAATTATATATATATATATATATATATATATATATATTAAAACAGATGGTATGATTAGTTGTAAGTGAAATTTTGAGTTTTATATTAAAATAATATTTAGAATAAAAGAATTAAAGTTGATTTAATATAAAATTAAGAGAAAGATGGTGTAAATTGATGATAAGTTAAGAACTTAAGATAATGTGAGTGAATGAATAGTGAATCAGAGCGGATGTAATGTGTAATAATAATTAGTTGATATTATTTAATGATATTTGATGAAGAATAATGAGGTTGAATTAAAAGTAATAAAAAATTGTTGAGTTAAAAATAATTGGTTTTTTTTTCAATGAAATTCATATCCAGATAGATATCTCGTTTATTTAATATTGCTAAACGACTTGGTATTTTTTTTAAATGAAAAAACAATACTTTAAATTTATCAGTTACACAATACATATTATCCGGTTGGAATGATAAAAATGATTATATTCATTAAAGTTTATTTTATCAATGAAATAACAATAAAACATATTAACTGTAAATTTTAAATTTTTAATTTAAGATTGTTTTGTTTTTATTTCACTTTTTCAATTTTCTTCATTTATGGAATTGCTTTTTATAAGATTATGATACGATTTGATATTTCCATTGATCCAATATTTCGTCTACATTAGCGTTAAATAAATACTGCCAAAAAAAATAAAAAATAAAAAAAAATCTCTTTCGATTTACGTTAAGAAAAAATACTGCCAAAAAAATCTCAATTATCTTGAACATTTATAATTATATCAGCATGCGTTAGGTAAAAGATAAGAAATAAATAAACATTTAACAATAACAGATTTTTACTGAAGATACATACTATTCAATATACGTCGTAATCTCCACGTTTAGCAATCAAATCACTGCAATTATTTTATTTTAATTTGATAAATATCCAATAACGTGCAAATTTTATTTATTCTATAAATTAATAAAAATAATATCTTTACTTTTATATAGTGATTTACCCCACCAAACCTCTCAGGAAAAAAATCGGAAAAGGACAAATATTGTTTTTCCTTTCTTTTTTTCCATTTGAGCTTTTTTGCAGTCCCATTAATGGAGGGAACTTCACCTTTGCAAAACTTTCACACACAGACAAAATAAAGCTAAAATTATTGAAATTAAAGAGCAAACAAGCCCTGAAAATTTCTGGCGCCATTTTTTTGAACCCTATAATCTTTCAAAAAAATTGTTCCTATTTTTTATTTTTTTCTTCAATTTTTGACTTTAGTTCGCCGGAAAAAACGAGATCTTTACAGGCTAATTTAGAAAGGGTCATGGAGATGGAGGACAGGGAGAGCACGGATTCGGGTTCGCTTAGCGGCAACCCGGAATCCGAGTCGCCGCCGTTGAGCGGCGTCGGGGACTACGCCGACCACGGCGCCGTTGCTTCCGGCGGCGGAGGCGGCTCTGTTCATGGACTGATAAACGTGAACATAAGCGTGGAGCACGCAGCCGCGGCGGCTGCTACGGCTGCAGGCCCTCCCGCGGCGGAGGCTGGTGGTGGGGTTTTCGGCGTCAGCGGAGGGGGCTTAGTGAGTAGTGGCTCCGGCGGCGGCGGCGGCGGCGGCGGCAGCGATTTGTCGTCGGGGAAGAAGAAGAGGGGGAGGCCAAGAAAGTACGACGCGGAGGGGAACTTGAACCCGGCGTACATAAAGTCGTCTCCTTTGGCGGCGCCGCCACAGACTGGGTTCACCCTGTCAACGCCGCCGTCGTACGAGAACTCCGGCGGCCCAAAAAGGGGACGCGGCAAGCATCATTCTGGGCCGACAAGCTGGCCGGCTAATGCTATGGCTTCTTTGGGTAAAAGCTACAACCCTACTAGGCTACTCAATGCCTTCCTTTATTTATTTTTATTCTCTTGCATTGTTCTCCTTCAACTTTACTTTATTCACAGTTTGGTGTAGATTTGCTTGCAATTACAGCTCAGTTACTGTCAATCCTTCTTTATTTTTAATAATTTTTCTTCTGTTCTGTGACTTGTATTGAGAGGTCAGATTTGGAGAGGTCAAAACTCAAAGCTGACTCTGTAATAAAGCTTAATAGCCATGAAAATTTGATATTAGGTTGTCATAATCTGATTTTGACTACGCTAATTTCTCCTGACACTAATTTTCTGTGCATGTGTTTGGTGACTTTGCAGATTCTAGGAAGAGTGAATTTCATCTATTTTTTTTTTTTTTTAAATCTTTAGACTGAGAATCACTTGCTTAATTCTCTGGTTCAAGATTTAGCAAACACTCAATAGAAATTTAACTTACCTTAATCTTCAGGTAAATTGGTCCCTTTTCATATAGAACTTAGCAAACACTATCATACTTTAAAAAATAACATAAATAGAATCAATACCATTATATGGTGAAAATATGCATTTTTTTTTTCAGGTGTATTGTGTATTGTTATTATTATTATTACTACATACATTGTAAAAATTCTGTCTTTATGTTTGTTTGATATTTACTTGTACAGGTGAAGTGCTTGCAAACACAGCAGGAGGGGATTTCACACCCCATGTAGTAATTGTACATGCTGGAGAGGTAAAAAATCACAACTTTAGTCAGCTCTCAAAAAAAAAAAAAAATGATATTTTACTCTCCCAGATCTGAATGGACCTTTAAAGACATTATAATTTATTTATTTATATATTTTTTTGTTCAGGATGTTGCTGGGAAGATACTCACATTTGCACAGAAGGATCATAGAGGAATTTGTGTTCTATCTGCTAATGGATCTGTCTCGAACGTTACTCTTCGTCAGCCTGGCTCGTCCGGAGGCTTATTGACTTACGAGGCATGATTCTTTTGTTTTTATAAAAAAGATATTGGCTTATATTTTAATTCTTGAATAATTTTTGTTAACTCAGATAAGCTGTTGTTGCAAAAGAGTTTGAGGCTATTAAGTAGCCCTCTTGATGTTCATATCTGTAGCTAATTAAGTACCTTTCTCCGAAAATGCCCCATTTTTGTATGAAACAAATTTGCATTTTAGCTATTTCTTTTTTGTTACTATATTTAGCTATTTGTTTTTGTTACTCTGAACATGAATGAATGCAGGGTCGATTTGAGATTTTAACGTTAACGGGTTCTTACACGATTTCTGATAATGGCGGGATGATAAGCCGTTGTGGAGGATTAAGTGTGTCATTAGCTAGCCCAGATGGCCGCGTGATTGGTGGTGGTGTTGCAGGTTTACTTATGGCAGCTAGCCCAATACAGGTGAAAATCGAAACATTTTTTCCATATTTTTTTCAGGAATATATATACATGTTTCTCTTGCTAGTGATGAATGATAATCCAATATGTACTTTTCTTGTTTTGTTACCTTAAAAAAGTACTTTGAATTCAATCTTGATTACAAACATCCATTCAAGGTTTCTTTTTTGGTATGTAAACCCATACTCAGACGTACAGTTTTTGAAAAGCCTCTTGCAATTTTGTATGCTTGAAACAAAAACAAGTGAATACTCGAATTTCGAAAGATTTATTTCAAGTACTCTACTCATCTTTGTTATTATCATGCCTAGTGACTTTACACTCGTCTTTGAACTTGTCGTGATTAGCAATAGAAATGATAAAATAAAACTATGGCTATGTTTGATAAAACCACTTGTTAGCTAATAAGCTAGTTTATAGCTTATAAGTGTTTTTTGAGCTTATAGCTTTTAACTTATGACTTATAGCTGAAAAATTAGCTTATATGATAAAAGTGCTTAGGCTATGTTTGGTACACTAATAAGCTAACTTATAGCTTATTTGGTTAACTTATAAGTTCTCTGTATTCAAATAAGTTCCGTTTGGTAGGACGAGCTTATTTAAAAAGCTCGAACTTATTTGATAAGCTTCTTTGGGTAGCTTTTCAAATAAGCCTGTTAAAATTTTTATTTCAGCTAATTTATCAGCTAATTTTATCAAACACTTTTATCATATAAGCTAGCTTTTCAGCTATAAGTCATAAGCTATAAGTTATAAGCTCGAAAATTACTGATAAGCTATAAGATAGCTTATCAGCTATCAGCTAGCTTATCAGCTAGTTTTACCAAACATATCCATAGTAAAATTAGCTAATAAGTTAGCTGAAATAAAAATTTCAACGAGCGTATTTGAAAAGCTACCCAAAGAAGCTTATGAGATATGCTCGAGCTTTTTAAAAAAGCTCGTTCTACCAAACGAAGTTTATTTGAATACAAGAAGCTTATAAGCTAACCAAATAAGCTATAACCTAGCTTATTTAGTTACCAAACATAGCCAAATGCCGACTTATCGAGGCTTGACTCTGCTAATAATCAAAATCAAATTCCAAATACTCGATTACAAGTTACAACATGTTCTTACTTTTTGCTCGACTTATCCAGATTGTAGTCGGAACATTTGTCCCCAACGGTTTCAAAACCCCAAAACGGAAGTACCAAACGGAGCCCAAAAGCATGGTCCCCACATCTGCTCCAGCTACAGTCACAGCTGCAAGGCCCATATCACAGGCCCCACCTGAGGCTGTCACTTACCCGGCCCAACAACATTCCCATTTTCTGGTGGGCCCACAAAATCCGGGCCAAGCGGAGAACAACAACCCCTTCAGCCACAAGGGCCTGCAAAATTCTGCATCAACTGATACAGCCGAGTGGAATGGGCCTGGGCCGGGCTTTGCTCATAGGCCTTCTCCTGATATCAACATCTCCATTCCCATAGACGAGCATTGAAGATGTGATTTATATTAGGACTTTTTTCAGATGTTTTTATGGTTTTCGTTAGATATAACCGAGTTTGGAATTTATGCCCTGTTTTAGCTTAATTTTAGATGTTTTTAGGGTTCTTGGTGATGACTTCCATGTTTTTTTGTGTGAGAATTTTATGGTTATGTACTCAAATCACCAGCTTAAATTGTCTTTCCACTGAAATTGTAGTGCACTTTTTAGTTCATTTATTTTTGCTGTTTGAGTTACACCACTCTTTGCTTTGACACATTTTACTGAGCAATATATATAATCAGTAGGATATCATGGCATTTGCAGATCAACAACAAGCATTATATTTAACAGCTCTAGGTGTAGAATAGCTGAATTTGAATTCTTGATACTTAGTTGAGCTTGATTTGTTAATCAAGTCTTTTGAATTCAACTCATTTATCAATATCAACAAATCAATTATTGAGTTGAACTCAAATATTAGAAACTGAGAGTTAGAAAAATCCACAAAGTCTTGTTTTCAAGTCTAAACATGCTTCCATCTCAGCTCGACTTGGCTTACTAACTAAACGAGCCATTGATTCAGTTTGAACAGAAAAAGGCAAAATAATCCGATAAAAGGTTTTCCAACAAACCTTATTAGGAGATATAAGAAGTAAGATCTCTGAAAAGTTGTATGAGTACTTTACAAATCGAACTCACGAACAAATCGTTTCGTTTAACAATTTTATTCATTACTTATATCACAACCAACGAATAAAGTACCAAAATATAGGTAAATAATAATAATTCATCATTCTTAATAATTCACTCCATTCCCATCTTCCAACTTGTGATATTCATAATATAATAAACATCATTCATCTTAACATTTATCCCATAATTTGATCATTTGGTATCAATTATCTGTAGAACTTTCAGCTTCTTCATTCTTCTTCCGAAAACGAAGAACAATCTTCTCATAATACTTCCAATCGGGATGAAATGGCGTTATCCCGGGCTGTCCGATTGGGTGATCTTTCACGTACGATGGAACATCCTCAGCATCCGTTAGCCCGTCAAGAAATTTACGCAAATCGCCATTAGGACCTATGACAAGTACCAATATTAAACTTTGAAAATAGAAAAAAAAAAAAAACATACAAAAAAAATAAAATTCATATCACTACAAAGTCTACAATTTAGCACATATTTTTGAATATATTAACTAATGCACCAAAATGTAAGTACATTTCAAGCAATGCCAACCTAGAAATGTGTCCTCCGTGTTGTGGCTTTGTAAGGTTGGGGAAAAATTGCTGTGTCGGGCTGCAAAAAATACATATGATTTAAAAATTATTTGTTATAAAAAAATGAAATAAACAATAAAATGAGATATAGTTAAAAAAATATATATACAGGATTAAGCAGGGCTGTATGTGGTTCGTCATCAATTAACAATGTGTTTGAGGCAGAATATTTTTCTCTGTAGCTTTTATTTTCCCATAAATCCTTCATTCTTTGAAGAAAAAGGGGCTTCTGCTTTTTGTGAAGGCAGCCATATCCAGAATCAGTGCATTCTTCTTGATTCTGTAATAAATAAATTAATAAATAAATAAAATAAAATAATACAAAACATTAAAATTTTCTATATTTTTTTTTTCTTTTGCTATAATATATAATCTAATAATAATTAATTGCAGACATTACCCACACAAACACGAACTTGTTCCTCGCCCTGCTCAAAACACCTTCAATATTGTGCCTATTCAAACCAAAATATTATTTTAGCATACATTATTGGATAAGCAAAAAAATAAGGACAAATACAACACCAATATCACATGTTTCGTTTACTAATAATTGAATAAAATCGTGTATGTCACTAACTCTCTTGCAGAGGACCAAAGCGCGACATCAAACCGCTGGAAGCAAAAATTCAGAAAATCTGTGCAAAATGGCCTCTTAAAAACTGCACCAATTTTCCAAAAAAAAAATAAAATAAAAATAAGTAAATCATATTGAAATTATGATAAAATTATAAAAGAAAAACATTTTTTTAATAAAAAATATACCTAAGAAATTCCCATAACGAATATCGGGCCGAAGCCCACGAACACTGTGGCTTCCCTTTAGGTGGGCCCTGTGAACAAGCAAGCCTCCCAAACAGAGCACGAGAAGCTTCTTATTCGGGCCGAGATTCAGCTTGCAGAGTGAAAGATCGAGATCAACGTCATCATCATCGACCTCATTTTCAGAATCGCTTTCGTAATATAGAACCGATTTGAGTTTCGAATAAGAGTTTTTTTCTGTCATTTTGAGTTTTTTTTTTCTTCGATCAATTGTGTGTTTTGGGCCGTATCGGATTGCGGTTTTATATGGGCTTTGGAGGGAATTTCGCGGGACTCCTGACTTTTGGGCGTTTTTTTTTTGAGGAATTTACACTCCTTACCATCATATATGATTTATATTACACTTATACATCCAATTTAAATTTATTTATAAAATAAGTAAATTAACTACAAAATATTACAAATATACCTAATATCCAATTCAACAGTTTTATGATATTTTTGGACAAATTAAATGTGATTGGATCATTAATTGGTAAGATATATTATTACCAAATATCAAAGAGATATTATCTCTCTCTGCAAAACCGCCTACGATCTCCAATCTTATGCAAAAAATTTCATGCTTTTCCCCAATTTTTCTCAACGGCGACAACAAAACTCTCCATCTCTACTCGGAAAAAAAAAACAACAAACGGTGGGCGGAGACTGGCGGTGAGCGGCGGCGGTTATGGGCTGCCGATAGAGTGCTCGTCCAGGCCAGAAGTCCACGCAGCATCACATGAAGACACGCCTGCGCAAGACACGGCCCTAGAACATCAAGGAGAATCGGACGATCAAGAAGATTAACGAGCAAGTGAAAAAAGAGGTCGAGAAAGGGGGAGTGGAGAATCGGATGATCCGCAAGGAAGGAGCGACCTTGGCCTTGTTCGGTGAGAAAATCGGCAGAGAGATGGCAAGGAAGGAGCAAACTTTGTTGTTGTTATCGTTGTTCGTATTTGTTTGTGAGTTTTAATTACATAATCTAATCCTTGTTGGGCACTCTATTTCTTCAAGGGTTGTGATGAATTAAGAACAACGAACTTTTCTTGTTAGGAGTGAAGAATTAAAGGCCAAGCTTAGAAGTTTTGGAGTGCTTTTCTGTTACTTTATTTTTTTCCAGCTATTATATTTAGATTATACCTTTCTGCCAAAATACTTGTTACATTCTAATGCAAAACATTAGAGTTTGTGGTTGTTTGTCTGTGTAGAAACTTTTCTGCTTGTCTGTTTTGAGATCATTGGGTCAATTAAGAAAAGGGTAAATTGCACCAAACTCCATTGTGTTTAACAAAATGTGTGCGTTTCCTCACTGTGTTTTAAAAAATGCATCAGACCCCCTCATTTTGTATAGGTTGCGGGTATATGTTGTGTATATATGGAGTATATATTATGTATAATATAAGGGTGTATGGTTTATATTGACAAAGCATAAATTGATTTTTTTTTTTTTTTTTTTTTTTATGTATGGTTTATATTCGCGAGACATAATTTTTATTTATAAGATCAATTTATATTTAGCATAAACTGAACTTTTTGTTGGTGTTGTGTATATGTATGATTTTATATTAAAAAATCTGTTATAATATGTTTTTAAACCATATACTGAATATCTACTAATATAAAAGAAAAAAAGGGGAAGATACAATTTTTGATTGAATACATTTTTTTCATTGCAACATATACTGAATATATACTAACATAAATGCAATATATACCAGCCGCATGAATTAAGGAATTCCAGTTGCGCACATATACTGAATATATACTAACATAAACTCAATATATACCACCTGAGAGCTACGTGAATTAAGGATTCCAGTTGCGTACATATACTCAATATATACTAACATAAACTCAATATATATCACCTGAGAGCTGCGTGAATTAAAGAATTCCAGTTGCGGGAATTAAGGAATTAAATGAGTAAATCACGCCACCAAAGGATAACTGATATGGATAGAGGACGTTATAAAAGGTAACTGATATTTAGGCAATCATGTAAATAAAATAGCTTGATTAGGTATATATCCTATTAATTGTTCTAGGAAGGTAAAATTGAAAATTCTTTTATCTCATGTAGTATGTGTAAAAATTTCCCTTTTTTTTTCTACTCAAAGACTTTTGGGCTTTCACATTTGAGTTTGTGAGTCTTTTGAGATTCTGAGAATAGTGAAGCTTTTGTTAAAAAAAAGAGAAAAATGCACCATACAATGTATATCAGTTTTAATTACATTAATGACACCCCATTGCAAATATTAGCAAATATACAAGATCTCACCTTTATAATTGTAAAATTACCAGATAATTAACTCACCGTAATTAAAGGTGACTTATCACCTTCCAAACTTAATGGAATTTATTTTCCCTCTCTCTCTCTCTCTCTTCTTCTTCTCGCTATGTTTTTCTTCTCATACACCTTCGATCTGCCTCTGTTTTTTCTTCTCATTCACATACACACATATATATAAAGGTCGAATCTTTAATTTAATTTCTATCGATAGAAAGCAAAATTCAATGAAAGAGAAAAAAGTTGTTTTCATTTTCGGACTTGAAACGGAGCTGAGGCTGGGGGCTTCCCGGAGGCGGCGAGGTGGAGAGGAACGAGAAGAGAGTGTTTTCAGATATCTCTAGCGTCGATGGCAGCGGCTGGGAGGAGGAGGAGAAGGTAGAGGCGGTGGGAAGTAAGAATCAGGTGGTAGGGTGGCCACCGATGGCAGCTTACTGGAGGAAAAATAGCTTCGGTCGGGCTAAGATGTACAGTCGCTGGATTGGCCGAACATGACCGAATGTATTTTTTGTATATGTTCTGTATATATTGTGTATATAATGACAACATTGATCTGTTGTATTTTCTTTTATGTCGACTGTGAGTATATCTTCTGTATATGTTCCCGACAAATATACTGTTTTTTTAGTATATGTTAAGGCAACAGTATATTTTTAGCACATGTACATGAGTACGATTTCAACTTGTTTTATATATTGTAAATATACATGATTTTAGCAATTTGTTGTTTTTTTGTTGTTTTGGTATAATAGAAGATTATTGCAACATATATTGAATATATATACGTTTAATATACACTATTAACATAATGCGATGTTAAAAAATAAACAAAAAACAGCTCGACAATTAAAAAATATGCGTGTTTGGCAAAATATGTTTTCAGTATTGTGGGATTTGTGCATATCAAGAAGAAAAAGTCGTTTGTAATTAATATTCATAATTTTTCCTATTTGTATTGAACAAACTCCTAATTAATAGGATATATTGACTTACCATGTGTATATATGCAACGAGAAAGAGAGAGGCGTTGGATATTGACTTACCGTGATTTAAGGACAATGATCCTTGTTTGTTGAGGTAACTGAAATATAGTATTATCACAAATTAATTGCATGAATTTGGTATGTTTGGAATTAAATTACTCTCATTCGTAATCTTGAAATAAAGAGAAATTCGCTGTGTATGGATGAAATTTTCCCAAAAATAAAGGGAATTTTTTATCCCTCCTACACGTTTTTTTAAAAAATACAAATTTACCATACACATGCAATTAATTGTTATTTGCCTAAAAGATAATATTTATCTACATTAATGCATAATGGTAGTTACCAATTAATTGTGATTATTTGCGTAACTTTTTTCAAAATAAAATTCAAATAGCATTTTTATTTTTTGGTAAATGGACGCAAATCACAGGCAAAAGAAGAAGAGAGAGTTGAATTGATATGGTAACTGAATCAGTCAAATTAAATGCACGTGGAGAGTGGTTAGAATTAATTGGTAACTACCATTATGCATTTAATTTGACTGATTCAGTTACCATATCAATTCAACTCTCTCTTCTTCTTTTGCCTGTGATTTGCGTCCATTTACCAAAAAATAAAAATGCTATTTGAATTTTATTTTGAAAAAAGTTACGCAAATAATCACAAAAAAAGGTGTCAATTAAAATCAAGGTATATTTTTTACTCCCAGGTATATTTCATATATATTGTACATATAATATCATATACTGTACATATACCACAACACAACACAAAACAGTAGACTCCATGAAAAATATACCAAAAATATACCTCAACCAAACACAACACAAAATATACCGAATCATCCGAAATCATCCTAAAGCGAAAATATACCAGAACACAACACAAAATATACCGAAAATATACTGGATATAAATCATCCTCCGGAAAGATATTCCTCTTCTCTCTCGTCGACTCCATGGAAAATGATTTTATGATCGCCTACCTGGAGATGACGACCGCGGGGATGGCTCGGTAGACGATCTCGTCGAGGGAGTAGGACTCGGTGGAGAATGGGTCGGCGATGAAGGGCTTGGCGGAGAAGCCGTGGGACGAGGCGTGGTGGCGGGCCTCGTCGCGGATGTTCTCACTTGCGGGGCGGCGGCGGTGGACCTTGGAAGGTTTTGTGTGAGAAAAGAGAGAAAGGACCGTCTGTGAATAAGAGAGAGGAGGGATAGAGGAGAGAGAATGAAAGATTACCATATAATTAAGAAATTAGCTTTTTAGGCATATATGCAAATAAATATAACAAATTTAGATAATTTATAAATAATTATATAAAGAATGTAATTATGTAATATTTTTACATTGTTTAAGTGGAGCGTGCAAATTCCTAAAAAAAAAAAATAAAAAAATATACAAGGCCAAGAGAGACCAATAGCATATCAAATTGGGTCAAAAATAATTCACTAGGGCTGAAAATAATTCACAACACGAGCCAAGGGTTAACTCCAAATGAGCCGATAAATTTCTAATTGTAATGGGTCGAGTATCAAACTCACGGTTTGCTTAGAAAACGGCTCGAAAGGGGCTGAAAATAAATTCTAATTAGGCCGAGGGGCTTATTCAATCGATTCGATTGACGACGAATAATAAATAATTACACGACTCATTATATTAATTAGACATCTAATTAAATAATAATAAGTCTAAACAGAAAGAATGTCGAGTAATTACCGGACTATACAAAATAAAATAAATATGATAACTCAATAATCCGAAAAAATCCATAATCACATAAAATCCAATATTCGAAAAATACAATATTCGAACGGGGCGCTACACCTTCCCATTTTGGACAAAAAGGAGCAAGAGACAACTACTTTCCACCACCATGCTTGGCTTTCGAGTGGGATTCCAGACTTTTCTCGTTGACAAATATTCTGCAGTCGACAGGAAAAAAAAAAAAAAGAAGAAGAAGAAGACATTATTTTTGGTATATATTGTATGAAATTGAATAATTAATTGGAGGGATCGTGATAGAGAGAATGCCTACTTATGGCAGCTCTTGCAGGAGAAATCCAATTCTCCGGATTCTCGTGTCTGCTGGTTTGGTTCGCTGGGGACGCTGGTCTCTTCCTCTTCACTCTCATCAGATTCATCTTCAGAGCTGTCCTCATCCTGTAAATTATGAATGTCACGCATGTTTCAGATACTTTAGGTTGTTGACCATAAAAACAGAACATATAGAATATAGTTGACCATAAACTTTCTAGCTACGCAATACGATTTACAGTGTTCATTAGAGAAATTTTAAAAACAGGAATGCCGGCAATACAAATAACTTCAAAAACAACATTGAACCGAGTCTTTAACATTCATCCACTATCATGAGAACCACAGTTAAAAATTCCAGTAAAATCACTTAAGGGGGCATCTAGTTAAAACACTGGTGCTGCAATAGCTATGATTCTTAATAGTAGAAAAGCACAAGGCGATTCCCCTATTCAGAGAGACACGTTAGAGGCTTCCAAGTTCCAACAGCAGAAGCCACAATGTAGACTTGTATCAAATAATATGATGAAAGATTCATAAATTGTATTATTAGATTAATCCCGAAAACATTTAAAAAAGAGAAACAGATACATCTTTTTATACAAAGCAGTATACAAGGTACATGCAGAAGTTATCAGATTGTACCTCAGAGTCATCGTCATCATCAAGTATCAAGTCTTCATCGTCATCATCAAGTATCAAGTCTTCATCGTCATTATATGTAGAATTTCAAATAAACAAAGTCAAGGAACAACAATCATATATTTAAATTATGTGTTGAGATCATTCAAAAAGGTAGTTAAAAACTATCCAAAGGATATTTATCAGGGTTTAAGGCCCAGTATCCATGAAAGTAGACACTTCCGCTTTTACAGTTGTGGGAAAGCTCAAACTCCCGGTTGAACCACAAGTTAAACTTTTGCTGAGGTAACTTATCGGTGAAGAGTGTTCCAAGGACCAGCTTCTTTCCATCGATATTCACAACCAAGGTGACAGTGGTTCTATTCTTTTTCTCCTTTTTCTGTTCACCAACATTTGCCTGAAATATGCAGAAACGAGAAGAATCACTATACACTACCCAAAAATAATATGAAATAAGATTCACCATCAAAACAGTCTTCTAAGTTTTAATATACCTGGGAAAGGTGCAAAATTATGGCGTCAAAAGGTATAACCTTAAGAGTCTCTCCACTTTTCACCTCAACCCCTGAAAACAACAAAGACAAATACTTTACAACGGTCTTTCGAAAGTATTTATTATTATCAAGAGAAGCAACACAGAACACCCACCACAGTGCTACTAATGACCTAAAACAAAATCATTATACAAAATAGCAACCAAGATACAACAAGTCAGGAGAGTCCTAACACACAGAATGCAAACAGATATCACCAGGATCTGCTTGAGGATTATGGTATGGTACAATACGAACCAAAACATCATGCTACCGGTCATGCATTTTCAGCTTAACTGCACTTTATTCTTCCTTTCATTTTTCTCATAACACAATGTACTCCTTTCAAAATGACAGACAACTTTAACACCAACCGAAATTCACATATGCAAATCACATGAGAAACAGCACAAAAACCCACAGAAAGGTGCACGAACGAGAAGCAAAAACGCATAAAAGAAGTGCAAAACAAGCACAGATGCTCATCCAAAACACCATTGAAGACAAAATGTACCGCGTTCTGACAGGCAACTTGCCATCAACAAACAAAATAGAAGTGCAAAGCCGGAATTCAAATACTTAAATCACACGAGAAATCAGTAGGTGCACGAACGATAAGCAAAAACACAAACAAAATAGATAATCACAACGAATCGTGAAATGCTGGCAATACATCAGGAAAAAATGCTTACCCCAGAACATGATTGACTGCTCAACCCAGAACTTCTATGATTGACGCGATGAGCTTGAGAGAGAGAACTGGTTTTAGGGTTATGGAGAGGTGGGCGTCTGGAAGTGATGGGCTGGGTGGCGTGGGCCTTGGGTCTCAGACTGGCCCAAAATAATAAGCTGATTTTTTTCTTTTTCTTTTTTCTTTTTAATTCCAAGTAGCTCTGCCTTACACCTCCTGGACCCAAGCCCCTGGCCGGCTCAAGAACTTGCAGATTAAATTTGGGATGTGCCCCAAGTGATTTTCACTTTGCTCCCTTTTATACTCTTAGACCCCAGGAGGCCTATCGCCACGAGAGGAATTGCCAGCATGACATCTAGAAGGACTGCCGCAGACTTCCTCCTTCTGGGTTTTGGATAGTGCTGTTAAATTAAACGAGTCTGGCTTAGCTCGGCTTGAGCTCGACTCGGCTCGTTAAGGCTCGAACTCGTTAAGGCTCGAGTTCGAGGCTTTAACGAGCCGAGCTCGAGTTCATTTAAAACTCGATTGGCTAACGAGCTTGGCTTGATAAGGCTCGAAAATAGAATTTTTATATAACTTTTTATAATTCGGTTCGCTAAAGCTCCAGATCGACTCGTTAAGGCTCGAGCTCGATTTTAGGCTCATTTATTTAACGACCCGAGCTCGAGCTCGAGCACGAGCACCCTAAGCTCAAGTTCGGCTCGACTCGTTTACAACCCTAGTTTTGAACATTCATTTGTTCCACGGGAGTAGGTCCAGACTTTTCTGGTTTCTTGTATCAGTTGACACCCCATTTTGTACTACCATAGTTAATTTTGAAAAATGTGGTATGGTAATTGTTAGTGGGAATTTAAGTTTAAATTAAAAATAATATTTAAAATAAAATAATTAAAGTTGATTTGATTTAAAAATAGGAGAAAATTGATTAGTGTTTGTCCTATTTTTGTTATCTTTTTCTTTGTTAGTTTATTAATTTTTTACCCCTTTAGGTCTTTTGATAGGATTTTCGGTCCTCCAGTCGTTTGTCTCGTGTGTTTGTCGTTTTTCTCTATTTTCGTATTTTTTGATGTTTTCGTTTGTTTTTCTTCTCCTTGGAAGTATACAGGTTTGGATCTTTGACTAGGTGTTTGGAGTTTATCCAGTCGAACTATCCCGACAAAATCCATGTCTCGGTTCGGAATTACAAGAGTTGACCAGCCTCTGTGTAGTCACTTGCTCGGGCAGGACCCGAACAACTTACGGTTCAGATCCATCACGCCGCGAAGCATCTTGCGGCGCTCGCCGCGCCCCGTCAGAGCTAGCCTTCACTGCCATCACGCCGCGTCGCCCATCGCACTGCAACACAACTCTACCATCGCGCCGCGGGACAGCTCGTGACGCCCTTAACGACCGAACAGAGCGCCCAGTTTTCCACTCGTCACACTGCGACATGCTTTGCGCCGCGACCACACACGAGACAACCCTAACGTCCTGCCACGTCGATGCATCGCACCGCGGCGCCAGGACTTTTCAAAATTCCAAATCTGATTTATTTTGCGGTTTTAGAATCTGAGGGTTCAAGGAGATATTCTTCATACTGTGTTTTATTATTTTTCTCCTCTCTCATCTAAAAAAAGTTGGTTTTCTCTTTGTTTTCTCTTGGTTTTCTTTAGGGATTCATTTTTTAAAAATTGTGGCACTCCAAAACGAATATTTGGTTTTGTATTTTGATTTTGTTTTTCGACTTGGATTAATCGTAAGTTCCTTTCATTTGATTATGAATGTGAATTACTGTGTTGAATCTTTTGTTGGGATTGATATCAATATGTGTGGCTAAATCGATTCGTTAGGGATAAGAGATATTGTTTTGGTTCGATTGAGATTCATATGTGCTTGTTTGCCGTTCAATCTATTCGAGTTGTGCTTAATCTAGGGGTAGATACTTGATCATCATTCTAATCTAATTAATCAATTTGTATAACCGAAAGGGGAGAAATTGATTGATCTTTGCTCGCGTAGAATAGGCTTGTTCGTTAATGTATTGCTTATGTGTTAATTGTTTCGATAATTGATGAATTATGTTTGTTATTTTGTTACGAAGAGTTATTGAGAATAAACCTCTAAATATTCTTCCTATTATAGCCTGCAAAGTGGGGGAAAGTAACTGAAAAAAAAAAAAATGCCATCGGCATCGATTTTGGTCCTCATCTCCACCATTTTACAAAGAAATTTTATGGTATTAAGGGATTTGTATACAACTGTAAATAAAGAAATTTTGTGGCCAATCAAACGGCGCCACGTGGAAATTAATTTATTAAAAATCAAGTCATATTTTCTATTTATATTTTAGGAATTTCCATATATTTAATTCCTAAATTTAAATAGTTAATTAATTGATATTTTAATATTTTAATTCTTGACCAATCAAATAATGCCAAGTGTCAAATCTTAATTCTTGGTAATAAATCATATGGCATCTAGAAGATCTTGGAAGATCTAAGTAGATCTAAAAGATCTTATGTGAATCATCATGGACCAATCAAATCGTGTCCTACGATTCTTAAATTTGGTAGGGTTCTCCATCCTACACCTATAAATAGGGGCTCTCCCTAATGTCAAAAAACACATCATATTTCATATTCAAAGTTCAAGAGCTCTAGAGAATTCTCTCGACGAGATTCAAGTGTTCTTGAAGATTCAAAGGCGTTCTTGAAGATTCGAAGCAAGATTCAAGCGCATTCAACCTCAAGACTGGCGTTCAATCCGGAAACAAGCTGCAAAGCCTCCGAATATCGTTAGTAAATTCAAAACCGGCGTAGAGAAGATTCAAGATCTACTTTGCGACGAAGACCAAGGATTCGTGTTCTTCGCGTTCTTGGGATATTTCGACGTTTGATCCGAAATCAAGGCGTTGGCCCTCGGATTAACGTTAATTCAAGTCAAATCAAGTCAAGGAGAAGATCAAGCCGAAGATTTCGCTCCAAGACTTAAAATTGTTCGTGAGAAGAATCAGAGGAGAAATTAGAGATTGTAACCCATTATATTATTTTGATTCGAGAAATTTATTTGAATAATATTTTTCGTGTTTTTATAAATTCAATACACGAAATTTGTTGTTACAAATTTTTGGCACGCCCAGTGGGACCTCTCTACCTCTCATCTCTTCTTCAAAATTCCTCAAATCATCATGACTAGCCGCAAGGTCGCCATAGTCAAGATTCCTTCAACAAGTTCTTCAAGCTCCAACCTCGGCGTCGTTACAAGAAGCATGACCAAGCAACTGCAAGCATCTTCAGAGACGACTCCTTTGCACGAGGTGATTGGAAGAGATAAGCTGCATCTTACCCACGAAGGTGATGAAGACGACTCCGCTTCATCAACTCCTCGCTCATCATCAAGCTCTTCATCAAATTCAAGGTCAAGTGTTGCTCCAGTTATGACAACTAATGCTTCAACTCTTGAAGAACACATCGCAAGCTTGACAAAGGTCATTGAAGGACTCGCGAAGAAGGTCCAAGAGCAAGACTCTCAAATCTCAAAGCTAATGGACAAGGTTGACAATGCTGAAACGAGCCGCATGAAGGAAAAACAAGATGAAGATCGTGATGAGTCTGAAACTTCCAAACAGCAACAATTTCACGAAAGAGAGAAGACTCCAACATTTCAACATTCGTCCGATGGAATGATCTCCATTGATCAACTGAAGGATTTCATCATGGGGACAATTAAAGATAAGCTTGACGGTGGTTCCAAGTCAACTCACACCTATGCCAAGCCATATACTCCAAGGATCGATAACTTGAGGATGCCTATTGGATATCAACCTCCCAAGTTCCAGCAGTTTGATGGAAAAGGCAACCCGAAGCAGCATATAACCCACTTTATTGAGACATGCAACGATGCAGGAACCCATGGTGACTATCTCGTAAAGCAGTTTGTTCGTTCACTCAAAGGGGTTGCATTCGACTGGTACACTGATTTGGAAGCAAACTCCATCGATAGTTGGGAGTAAATGGAACACGAATTTCTTAGTCGCTTCTATAGCACAAGACGTACAGTCAGCATGATCGAGCTCACCACATCTCGACAATGGAAGGAGGAGCCAGTCATCGACTACATCAATAGGTGGAGGAACTTAAGTCTGAACTGCAAGGATCGTCTGTCCGAGGCTTCTGCCATTGAGATGTGCATTCAAGGTATGAGTTGGGGTCTTCGTTACATCCTTCAAGGCATTCGACCGAGAACATTTGAGGAGCTAGCGACTCGAGCCCACGACATGGAGCTAAGCATGGCTGCAAGCGGAGCTAATGGGCCACCGATCCAAGAACCCCAAAGCTCCAAGGATAGATACGAGCAAAGAAAAGGGGGCAAGTTTTCCTCGAAATCTCAAAATAAGGAGTCCATGACGATCAATGCTATGCCCGTCAAGTTCAAAGGAAAAGTTGCTGATAAAGTCGTTGAAAAGAAGGATGTCCCCAAGGAACCTGAACAAAGAAGATTGACTCTGAAAGAAATGCAAGCGAAACAGTACCCGTTCCTTGATTCAGACGTCTCGGGCATATTTGACGATCTGATCGAAGCAAAACTCATTGAGTTGCCCGAGATGAAACGTCCTGAAGAAGCTGACAGCGTGAACGACCCAAAATATTGCAAATACCACCGTCTGGTAGGGCATCCAATTCATGACTGCTTTGTATTCAAAGACAAGGTTATGCAGCTGACTCGTCAAGGAAAAATCTCATTGGAAGAAAGTAGCGTAACTGCTAATCATGTAAGTGAAGCATGCAACATGACAAACGAGCACCAAGCTCCGCTAGAAGAAAACAATCTTCCTGAGGTTGAAGATCACCATGTTGGTCGTGATTCCATGATGGTCTTTACTGATGAAGATCTGCTGCTTTGTTCTAAGCCTCACAATAGACCATTGTTCGTGGCTGGCCATGTGCAAGAGCAAAAGGTTAACCGAATCTTGATTGATGGAGGATCAGCAGTCAACATTTTGCCTCTCCGTACGCTGAAAGAGTTAGGAATGACTACGGAAGAACTTGGTAATAGTCGATTGATGATTCAAGGCTTTAACCAAGGGGGGCAAAGAGCTCTTGGCATTATAAGGTTGAGTTTGTTGATGGAAGATATGGAATCAACCGCAATGTTCCATGTTATCGACGCAAAAACTTCTTACAACATGCTACTTGGTCGTCCATGG